AGATACTATTGCAAGTTTAAAAATCAATAGAGTTACCTTTAAATTTTTTACTGTAAATAACTGGCCAATATTCTTCAAAAGTGTCAAGGCCATGAAAGACAAAAGACTGAGGAATTATTTTATAAATAAATCAAAGGAAACTAAGAAGACATGACAACTAAATCAAAATATAGAATGATTGATAAAATGTGAATAAGGTCTGCAGATTAGATGATAATACTGTATCACTGTTAATTTTCTTATTTTGATCACTACTAGGCTTGTGTGAAATATTAACACTGGGAAATCTGGGTGAAGGGTACATGGGAATTCTCTGTACTATTTTTGCAACTCTGAAATTATTTTAACAAAGAAAAATTTTAAAAAAAAATTTAAAATTTAAATGAGCTCTGTTCTAGACAAAGAAGTTCAATTGCAAAACCAAGTTTGATAATGTTCTGTAGCTGGGTGCTTCCTCTGAAAGGAAGAAAAACTGTCATATTTGGGCCGTATATACTGCCAGTAAAGGCAATATTACCAACTAAGTTTAATGCCAACTAAGTTGCTCGACAGCTCTACAGTTCTATGGTCCAGCCACTCTCCTGCTGTCCAAGAAGACTGTGTCATGCCTACTCCTCTCTGTTCTTGCCCCTTTACTCTCTGCAGGTGACCTGCTCTTATGTCACTGAGAATAATAATAGCAAACATCTCTAGAGTGTTTGCTATGTCCCTGGCACTGTATTCAGGGCTTTCTACATATAACTCACCCTTACCTTCAGAATCCTATAAATCTATAAAAGAATATTATTCTTCTCATTTCATATGTCAGGAAACTGAGGCACAGAGAAGTATTAAGTAGTCCAAGGTCACAGAGGCCAGACACAAAGGGGGGATCTTAACCCTGGCGGTCTTTGCTTGTACAATGACTGCTACTTCAACCACCCGCATTTATCTCTTATCTGCAGTCCACTGTCAAATCTTGTCTATGCGGGGCCAATTCATGTCCAACTTTTCACGCGGGCCTTAGCTCAAGGAAACACTAGGACGTGGTTGCGCATATATAAGTTGGTGTGTGTGTGTGTATTGTGTTCTGGCCCACCCTAATAGGTCCAGTCTTAATTCTAAAGTTGTAACTTTACTGAAAGAGAGGATATATATATTGACGCAAATTTAGCACTACTCCCTATTATCCGCCCACTGCTTCCAAAGTCTGTGTACGAACATATTGCATCACTATATGGCCTGAGACTTCCAAAAGAAATGGAACCACACTGTACACCTGTGAATAAAGATGTTATTGTGAAAAAGTATACGCAAAGGAATTGTTCCAATGTTTCGCAATGGACGAGGAGTCTCGTTTGATAAACTCATGTCACCTCTCACTAAGTGCTTTGGCATTTAAGTGGATGCACACTAACATATATGCTCCTATTTGGCGGGTGCACACGATGTCTGTAGCTCGCTTTTCTCTTCCCTCGTCGTGGGGTGACAGCCTAAGCGATTTGGTGGCTTAGGGAATCTGTGTTCTGTTTTTTATAAGCCTATCTGTTAGAGATCGTGCACTAAGTGTCTGCGAGTATATTTTCCCGGCTATGACCTCCAGGTCGGCGGTCACAGCATGAACCAGCAGAGAACATAATAATTTAGAGATTTACATCGCCTGTGACTTCTTGACTGCACTGTGACAGCTATGATGGTAACCTTTGCCACTCGGTTGTTCCAGTGGTGTGATAATGGGCCGGGGAGTGGGATAATGGGAGAAAAGAAGCAAGCATTGCGAAGGGTTAAGTTCATTTCTATAGAATACCATAGCGAACAAGTTCAACAGGT